AGTTAGACTATTACGGTCAAGACAGCGAGATGGCGAGGCAAAGTCAAAAAGGGAACGGGAAAACCAGAGAGCAGAGAGAGAATGAGACTGGAGAGTCGAGACTGGTGCAAAGCTGTAAGCAGGCAAAAATGTACGGACCAGAGAAACAGAGAAGGGAGTAGGTTTAGATGTTTAGTCAAAAGAAAGGAGCCTTAACCCGCAACTGCTTGGCCCCTCTCTGAAATATTTAAGAAGAATTAAACCCGCACTGCCCACAAGCACCGCACTGCATACATACCTTCCCCACCTCGCCACACAAAGGCTTAAACTCCCGCACCGCCCCGTTGCCTTCCCTAATGATATGTTTTATCCCATCCTCCATTGGAACAGAAAATTCAGCGAGAACTGAAAGTTCTTTTTACCAGTGTATCTCCAAATGATATACCCAGTAAGCTCTCAATCTGAAGCTGCTCTGCATGGTTTCTCCTTCACAGCTCTACCATTAGATGGAGCAGCTAGGCCAACCAGCACAGAGTTCCATGGATTTCACAAATACAGCCTTCTAAGAATATGCAAAGTAGTTCAAAAGCCAATAGCTAGTTTCCTAAAGCAGCATATATATTAATATATATATAATATTGCTTACATTGGCATCCATATCAAACAAGAGAGACAGCCTAAAGTCAGGAATGATAAGTAGCCTTACCTGATCCTTACTGATAAATTCCACGTACGTTTTGCAATATCCTTTTCCATTTCAAAATGGAATAAGATCAGGACCAATCCACTCTTTCCGGATTGCCTTTCAATGGCCAGTTTCGTTTACCATCTCTCTTACACTTCTTGCATCTTCCCACCTTCCTCCGGAGCATACAAGTTCGAGAGGATCAAAATAAGTTCCAGCATTTTTCTGGCTCTATCTCCAAAAGTTGTTTGGCTACAATTCACCAATATCGAACAACACAGGTGAGCCCAGCAGGCACCTAAAAGTGAACCCAGAATGCAGAGTTGGTGAAAAGGCATCTCTCTGATGAATTGACAAGGCCCTTTCTACTTGGCCAGCTCGACTTAGCAAATCAACGCACACAACCGTAGTGCTCAATGCTAACCTTGGCCCTGTCTTTGCCAATACTTATTTCGTTGAAAATCTGTACGACTTTATCCTCCATTCTCTCCATGGCTGGCAACCAGATAACACAGCCAAAAAGTGATGCCACAGGCTTGATCTTGTTTCTTCTCCATCATTCAAAAGAAGCCAACTAACCTCTTTTCCCATCCCATGTTTACGTATCCCAACAAGCATGGCATTCCAGGAGCTCAACAGTTTTTCAGAGATTTGATTGAATACCCTCCTTGAATTTTAAGCGAGGTTTCCACACTTTCGAGTCATATCAACAAAGAGAATTCTGAAAGCACCGCGTAGAAAGGGTATTCCAATCGAATATTGGGCAATGCAATTGTCCTCCCTAGTTCCACTGCAAGCAAGTCCTGAATAAGGCCGTTAATACACTAGCATAATTAACAGTAGTTTTGGAAGACATTCCCTCTGCTTGTTAACTTGCGGAAAAAGCTCTAGTGCCTCTCATCCTAGTCCCTGTTGAGCGTAGCCTGAGATTATAAGCAGTACAAGAGACAACATCTCTTTCTGGCAGGCGTTTCAAAAACATCTCGATGCATCATGGACTTTGCAGCTTTGGCTACATATTCAAGGAGTGAGCTTCCCACATTATATATGCGATTCAAAAGGTGCTCTGACCACAAGACAATGGACTTGTCTCCAAATGAATCTACTACTTCGTTCTTATTTTTCCTATTGTTTTACTGAAATTTTTCTTGGTTGTGATCCGAATCTAACTTGTTGGAACCCAAATTGTTTCTGATGATAGATGTTGGACTTTCATCATCTGGGATCGCTTTTGTTTCCCTTTAATTTTTAGGGTTAAACCATTAAATTAGTTATACGTGCATTCACTACCATGAAAATACACAAAATGCAAGCAACAAACATACAACCAATAAACATATCATTAGGGAAGGCAACGGGGCGGTGCGGGTTAAAGCCTTTGTGTGGCGAGGTGGGGAAGTATGTATGCAGTGCGGTGCGTGGGCAGTGCGGGTTTAAACAATTTTCTTAAAATCAGAGAGGGCAAAGCAGTTGCGGGTTAAGGCTCCTTTCTTTTGAACTAAACATCTAAACCTACTCCCTTCTCTGTTTCTCTGGTCTCCGTACATTTTTGCCTGCTACAGCTGCACCAGTCTCGACTCTCACAGTCTCATTCTCTCTCTGCTCTCTGGTTTCTCCGTCCCTTTTTGACTTTGGCCTCGCCATCTCGCTGTCTTGCCGGTAATAGTCTAACTCTACTACTTCGTTCTTATTTTTCCTATTGTTTTACTGAAATTTTTCTTGGTTGTGATCCGAATCTAACTTGTTGGAACCCAAAATTGTTTCTGATGATAGATGTTGGACTTTCATCATCTGGGATCGCTTTTGTTTCCCTTTAATTTTTAGGGTTAAACCATTAAATTAGTTATACGTGCATTCACTACCATGAAAATACACAAAATGCAAGCAACAAACATACAACCAATAATTGTTGAGCAGAAGCTGAAGTTGGCTGCTACAAACTTGAAGCTGATCTTGTATTTGTCTCAGGAACGAATTTGGAGCTGCATTTTTTGATTTCTTGTTGACTGCCATTTTAAATTTTTTGGTTTCCAAGTTACATTTTTCTGGATTTACATAGATTGTTGTTAATTTGATTGTCATTATTGAGTGTAATTGGATCCAGACTCCACTTGTGGGATTACACTGGATATGTTGTTGTTATTGAATGTATTTGGATCAGAGGTTGTGTCGAAGTTCGGTATTTGGTTGAATGGGGTTGTTAACTTGATTCTCGTTATTAAATTTTCTTCTTGTGCTTTTTGTGTTTATAGATAAGTACGGAGTCTCAAGATGAAGAAAACTCAAGGGTTTCATCTTCTAGTACTTTTCTCATTGAGGACGAGAGCCAAAGATTGACTCAAGCTAACAAAGTTATTGGAACTAAAAATAGAAAATTGACTTCTAAAGCACAACATTTTAGATTTGTGATGATCGATGGTGTTTGCTTTTTTGATAGTATTGTAATATTCGAATCAAGACAACTAGGAAAAGTGGGACAAGCTGTATATTAGAATTGCTAGATGTCCCAATAAGCCACAGAATTTGGATAGTAAGGATGGTTCAGGGGGTGATAATGTAGGCAACAAAATTATTTTGATCAAGATGTTTCACGTAGAGAACTTGTTCATGTCATCATTTTTAATGATATCCACTGTCCATTGTTGATCATGTGGGGTTTAGGAAGTTTGTTGCTAGTCTTTGGCTGTTGTTCAAAATAGTTTGAAGGAATACAATCATGACATCATGAAGATTTTTGACGATTTGAAATAAAAAACTTCTAAGTTAGTGAAAAACATCACTAGTAGAACTGCATTAACAATTGATACGTGGACTGTGAATAATAACGACAAGGGTTTTTGGCTATTACCTGACATTTTATTGATGATTCATGGAGACTTCAAAGCCACAATATGAGATTTCTTTATATTCATACTCCACACGTAAGGCTACTTTGTGTAATGCTTTGCTTAATTGTTTGTATTAGTGAAATCTTAAAATGGGAATATCAACCATTACAATTGATAATTCTTGCGCAAACAATGCCATGGTGAGAACTTTATTAGACGGGAAACTTAGTAAATTTTTTTTTATTATTGATGGGCCAAGTGTTTCATGTGCATTGTGCTGCACATGTCTTGAATTTGATTGTGCAATAAGGGCTAAGGGTGATGGGAGATAGTATTTGTAACATGCGTGACCATGTCCATATTGGATAAGGTTACCAAGCAGAATTGAGGGGTTTGAAGAAACCAACATTTACTACACAATTTTTGTAACAAAAAGTTGTAGGAACTCAAAATATCTACTGTTGAGAACCATAGAATATGAAGAGGCCTTTCAAAAGTTAAGTCTAATTAACACCAATTATCGGTGTTTTCCAGCCGATGGACAATGGAGTGAAGCAAAAGTTGTTTGTAATACCATATCATTGAACAATTTTCAGGAATTCAATATCCAACTTTAAATCAAAACTTTTCAAAAGTTTGTGAAGTTAAGCTAGATTTATAAGCATGTGTGGAAAGATTTAATCCCTTCAGTTTTAACGTTGCCGAAGCCATAGCGCTAATCAAAGAATTCAAGCTCTTCACCCATATTCTAGCTTAACTCCACAAACTTTGAGAAGTATTGACTTGAAGTTAGATATTGAACTCCTGAAATTGTTCAATGATGTGGTAAAAGAACTTCAATTTATCACAAGCATTTTCGACTTCACTCCATTGTCCGTTAGTTAGAAACATCGATAATTGATGTCATTTAGACTCAACTTCCGAAACACCTCTTTATATTCTATGGTTGTTCTCAACACTAATATATTGATTTCCAATGAGTGGGGCAATTATATACTTCATCCATTTCAATTTAAGTGTCTTAGTTTAACTAGGTACCAAGTTTAAGAAAATAAGGAAGACTTTTGGATCTTGTGGTCTTATATTATAGGTGAGCGTAATGAACCAAAATTTGTCTTCTGAATCTTGTGATAAAAAACATGTCATGTAAAATGTTAGAATTGGAGATTACCAAATTTAGAAAAAAGCAATCTTTTTGAAACATACTAAAAAGAAAGTACGATATTTAAATTGAAATGAGGGGAGTAAAACTTTTACAGGAACTGTGTAGAAAATGTGTAGCTTTTTCAAACCTTCTTTCAATTATGCCTGGGTGACCCTATCCAGTATAAGACATTGTACGCACGTAGCTAATACTATCTCCTATCATCTTTAGCCCTTGTTGTACAATCAATTTCAAGATGTGTGCAATACAATGCAGATGAAATAATCGACCCATCAACAACAAATCACTTTTATTAAGTTTCTCATCTAATATTCATCGTATCATTTTTTTGTGCTAGAATTATAGTTATAAGATATTTTACGTTAAAAATTCCACTCAACCAATTAAGTAGTACACTACATGAAGTATCCCTATCATGTGGAGTAGGAATATACACAAATCTCATATTATGGCTTTGCAATCTCCATGAATCATTAGGAAATAGCCACATACTCTTTTTTTGTTGTTTTCTGAAGTCCACATATCAGTTGTTATAGTAATTCTACTAAAGGTAGTTTTCAATAACTTAGATATTTTTTATTCAAATTATCAGAATCTTCATAATGTCATTCTTGATTGTATTCCCTAAATCATTTTGAACAACGACTAGAAACAAACTTCCTAAATCCCACATGATCTATAATGAACAATAGATATTCATGTAATGTGATGGCATGAGCAAATTTTCTACGTGAAATATCTTGATCAAAATAACTTTGTTGGTTGCTATTATCACCTCCAGGATACCCTCATTTTCCAAGTTCCTTAGCTTATTGGGACATTTAGCTTTATGTTCTAACATAGAGCTTTTTTCCCATTTCTTTGTTGTTTTCTACGAGTATTACAATCACCATCAAGCATCACCAATCTAAAATATTGCCACGCTTTATAAGTCAATTCCCTCTTTT